TACACAAAAACATTATATCAATAATTAAAAATCTATAAATCTTTTAAAAAAGTATGGAGAAAAAATCTTTATCGTTTAAAGAAATATTATAATTAATATATCCCATCTAAACTAAACAAAACAAAAATAAGTAATGTATTTCTGTTCAAAAATGCAGGTTACTACTCTGAAAACCGATTATTATTGCGAACGATATACGAGCAAGTGATTAAAATTAAAAGGTTAACCTCTATGTAAAAGGTTTCAGCAGCGAGACGGTACGCCACACCCGATGCTAGCTGCGTGCCGAATAATCATCGACTAACGACAGAAAAAGGTTTCAGCATAAATCGTAAATCGCCTGTACCTCTCGCGAGCAGCGAGGACGGTACGCTACACCCGATGTTAGCTGCGTGCCGAGTAATCATCGATTAACGACACAAAAGGTTTCAGCATATCGTAAATCGCCTGTATCGTCGCGAGCAGCGAGGTCGGTACGCCACACTCGATGTTGTTGCGGGCCGCCGAGTAATCCCTCGAGGATCGACAAAATGCTCGAGACATACCGAGGATATGAATACTCGGATGACCGAGTATTTTTCACTCGAGTGATCCCATCACTAGAATGAAGAGTAAATTTTAAATTTCGATAACAGAAACCTAAATTATAGTTGACCTTGTATAGCCTGATATTTAATTACAGTAACCATTGTATGTTAAACCAAATTGAAATTTGATCTGAAAAGTTATACAGGGTGAGACAAAATTAATATGGAACATTAGTCACTTTTAAAAGCAAGTTACTCGTTTATTTTAAATAAAACACCCAGTATATTATTCCGGTATTCAATGGAGAGTTTATATATCTTCAACATATTATTAAGGTTGCCTACCCCTCAGACAAAGGATTTCCTAGGTATTTTAATTTTTATGATTTTGCGCCAGTAGATCTTTATTATTTGAAAAATCTATGGGGTGGCTGTTATATATCTTTTGTTAATTTAACAAAAATTAAAGAATGTAGAGTAAAATACTCAACGGTAATAAAAAGATACACGTTTAAAACATATTTTAGTTATTACAGAATTAAAACTAGATATAAACCTATAATTATGACAAAAAATAGCTAGATGAAATCAAATGCTCAAAATGCTTCCTGTTAACTGCATAAAATGATTTGTCTTTTCAACAGGATCTTTTAAAAAGCATTATGTGGAGTTCTACCTCGAAAAGCAGCTACAATAATTTCTTTCATGTTGTCGACAATAGTTGGTCGAGTTTTGTAAATATTATCTTGAACATATCCCCAAAAAAAATTCAGACTAGATAAAATCAGGAGCATTTAAGTATTCTATTAATTGGTGAATGCACACTGCATTCACCGACTAGTAGAATCTTATCAATTCTCTCTGATGTAGAATAAGTTTGCATTTTCGGCAAATTTCTGAGAATTTTTTTTGTTTTAACTGACACAAAATGATAACTAGTTATTAAAGTTGGACTAATTAAACAGCTTTGTTGAAGTAACGTCAGACATATCACCAGCCACCTAGATTTTATCAAATAATAAACATCTACTCAGATCAAATCATGTAAATGAAAATATCTAGGAAAATGTTTGTTTAAGGGGTAGGAAACCTTAATAGTATTTTAAAGAGACATTAATTCTCGATTGAATATCGAAATAATATACTGAGTGTTCCATTTAAAATAAAAGTGTAACACGCTTTCAAAGGTGACCAGTGTTCAATATTAATGTTGTCTCACTCTCACCCTGTATAACTTTTTAGATCAAGTTTTAATTTGATTTAACGTACAATAGTTAATTTAACCACATATTAGGCTATTACGGGCTAAATTCCAATTTGGGTAGCTTTTATTGTAATTTAAAAATTGTTCTTTATTTTTAGCAAATGTTAAATATGTCAAAAACCTTACATTTTAGTCATATACCTCTCTTGTTAAACTCCTGGTATTCTATTACAAAAAACACAACTTTGATATGTAACTTTTTTTGGGGACACCCTGTAGAACTCTCTATATTTTTATAAAGTGCTCTGAATTAACCTACATATGCTCACAAAATTGCATTTCAATACAAACTGTCGTTCTCCTTGGAGCCTAGCCTCAGCGGCGTATGAGAGGTGCCACCCTGTATACAAAAAAATATTTTTAGGATATGCACCTTTATAAACCATGCAACATCTGTATAAAAAAAATTACGACGACGATATTAGACTTCCCCTCATTAATGGGCCACCCTCATACATTTCAAAATTGATGAAAAAAGCTCCAAAAATTGAGCTTTTGCCCAAATCAACTCCAACAAAAAAAAGCGAACAACAGTAGATAAAACACCGCCCGTAACATCTTTTTTCCAGATTTTTTTTTCCCGAACAGTGTTCGAAAAAAAAAACAGTTATCCCGACTCTGGCCGATGCAAAAAAATTTAATTTCCAGCTCCGATTCGGCCCGTAACTAATTAAATCGGAAAGTGGTTTTAAATTTTCAATCAACAACCGTGTGTATATTGATTTTGACTTTAACGCACACCGGTCCAATTAAATTTTCAACAAACACGGGCCAAACTCAAATCGGACTAAACGAATTTAATTAACATTTATTTTATTTTACCCTCCGAATATAAAGGCAAAAGCTGATACGCTGTTTCGAATGCAGGCATAGTTTTCGTGTTTTAGAAGTTTGTATTATGGGAAAATTGGATTTGACTGGCTGAAAATTGTTATACAGGGTGGCGCACCTGATTCGCCTAGGTTAATTATACGACAACGGAAAGATGTAGAAACAAAATATTTTATGGGTATATGTGGGAAGGCAATGTGTATAATTTAAAATGGGTATGCCAGAACTAAGATCCACACCAAAGTTATATTTTTTCTTATGGAACACCCGGTATTTTATTTCATATTTGGATCCTTGGACACAAAATATGGTATTTATTATAAGGGTTAAATATGTTTACAAGCTAAACAAGCTTTGGTTTTTGAGATATTTAAAGATATTTAAATATGCATGCTATAAATATAAAAAAGATTACCAACACCCTGTATATTTATTTTCAGAATTAATTCTTGTGCTGACTTTTATACCAAAGAAATAAACTTTACTGTAAAATTTGATTTCTTGGCTTAATGTATACAGCGGGATCAAAAATTGCTGGTCTATTTTAAATATTTATTTTACATAAAAACAACAACATTTCAAATACAACACTCTGTATTTTTTAAAATAAATCGAAGCAGATTCAAATGCTCTTTCAAACTATGTTAGGGTTTCCTATACCTATCTAGCTCAGATTTTGAATAAAGAGCAATTTTTCAATAAAATCCAAGAGGGCTAGTGTCGACAGTAGCTATTTTCAAAATCGAAGCTAATTTATGAACTTTATTTAAATTTATACCAGTTTGTTTCTATTGAATTTATCTACAACAGTTTAATAAATAATGTTTATTAAATATGTATTTGCTATTCTATCAAGAAAAACAAAGAAGTTGTTCTTTGATTTATTTTAGGATGACTTGTAGATATATGAATTTTCTATAAAAGAACCAATTACGGCAAATTCATTTTCTTCACTTCCAACGAAAGTTTTCTGCCTAATAGGTTTTTTATAAACCTCACTACCAGCTCTGCGAAATAGGACAAGTAGTTTTTCAAAGGTACGCTTATCAGGAAGATTCCTGATTGGATGTCTTTGAACATAAGTCCTTGAGGCGAAGAAACAATTTTTCTCACAAAATAAAATCACTAGTAACTAGTAACATATGCATTCGTTCCGCTCGCAGATACAGCTTTATTTTTCTTGATAAAATAATGAATACTTACTTATCAAACTATTGTAGGTAAATTTATATATAAAACAAAGTCGATTTTGAAAATAGTTACTAACTACCACTAGCAAATTGCCATGGTGTCACCAGCCATCTTGATGGTCATTTTATTGAAAAATCGCTTTTTATTCAAATTCTGAGCTAGATAGATATAGGAAACCCTAATATAGTTTGAAAGAGTATTTGAATCTGCTTCGATTTGTTTTAAAAAATGCAGGGTGTTGCATTTGAAATAACGAAGATTTTATATAAAATAAATCCTTAAAATAGATTAATTCTGAATTAATTCTGAAAAGTAATGTACAAGGTGTTAATCATCTATTCTATTGCAGCATGCATATTTAAATATCTTTAAATATCTCAAAAACCAAAGATTTTAAACATATTTAACCTTTATATTAATGCTTTTTTGGGGCACAAGAATCCAAAAATTAAATAAAATACCAGGTGTTCCATAAGAAAAAACATAACTTTGGTATGGATCTTAGTTCTGAAACACCCTGTGTATTTAATAAAATAATTTTAAATTGTGCCCCACATTGCCTCCCCACATATACCCATAAAATATTTTGTTTCTACGTCTTTCTGTTTTCGTAAATCAACCGAGGCGAGTGAGGTGCGCCACCCTGTACTAAGTGACAAAGAAAATGCAACACCCAGACTAACTGAACGTATTTTGATAAAAACTAATAAACACGTTCGCTATCATAGCATCTTCATGTCGATAAAAATTAAGATATTCCGAACAGTATGTACTCGCTTGTTCACACAACTCCAGTGTCTAAACTGGTCTCAAAAACATTGATTAAGTGTTATTCTCAAAGATATTTAAACTCCGAGTTTAAATATCTTTGGTTATTCTCAATCTTGCAGTTAAACAGCATTGATTCTAATTCTTTTAATAAGCTCGGAACTATTGTAACTAGATATTTATTATATTCGTCAGGTATCTGTTCGGGATTTCCCTCAATCATATTACCATCTGTTACACTATCACGATCTATTATTTCCCTACATATACTCCATATACATTTTGAGTTATTGTCAGACATACAGACATAACATCAGTAATAGAAACCATACACATACAAAATGAAAAAAATCCCTTTCATTGTTGGAGCTTTCGCTATCAATAATAATGTACGTTTAATTGCAAAAATAGTATCCTACCTTTTCTCATTTTTGATTCGGCATCGTTTGGTTTGCAGTCCATCGAAGCCATCGCCATCAATTTTCGTTTGTGGTTGCATAACTTCGTTAAATCTCCCGTATTTGTATCTGGCATCAATACCCATGGCTTTCCACTTATCTGAAAAAAGGAAACAATCTTTTATTTGGATACTCAAATTTACCATTCTATAACGTAGGGGTGATTTTTTTGGAAAAATTATATTCCTTTACAAGATCCAACTTTTTTTTTAACTTTTTTGCCCCGGAATTCAAAATATGCCACTAAGCTTACGAATCAACCCGATGTATTCGTTGGCGAAAGTAAATAACTAAATTAAATTATCTAATGTCGGTTGGCTGATAAATAATGCATAGACCGAATTTTCATGCTAATTCGAATGCGTTTCGGCATAATTTGCCTTTTATTTACATATATTAATTAAAACCCTGTTATTATCGCACCCGATCTAAAAAATGTGGAAATACCGAGCAGCGGGGCTTTGCTTCATTAAAATCCATAATTTAATAATTGCTTTTAATTGTTTGGTATTTACAATTAATTACGGCTACTAGCAAATATTGATATTATTTATAACGGGTTCTATGTCTTGGAAAACGATTTTCTTTAAAATGGAATCATAATAATGAAATTATTATAATTCCATTTTGTTTGATTTCATTTTGATTTGTCGAATTATTGTAAAATTAAATTCCTTCAGAAATTTCTGTTTTGTATAGACTCTAGTTATTTTTTATCATGGAGAACACCGGGTTTTCGAAGGATACAATGGTAAGTAAATCAAATATATCTACTTACAGTAATAGATTTTTTTAAATTAGTACTGCTAATAAATGCTACTTGCTGAGCAGTTATTTAATTTTTTTAAGGTGCATGTAAGGAATTAAGGACGCGCGTTACGTTATATTAGCATGATCAGCAGATGATTAAATCTGATTTAATTTGGGAATCTTGCCTACACGAAAATTATATAGCCGTTTCCAATTCACTTCAAAGGGAGGAAAATTATGTAAAACTGCCTGCTATTTGCTGAAAACCGGCAGAGATTAAATTATAACTGTAACAACTTAATATATACTATTACTAGTCTTTTTAATATTTTTTTAATTAATATCCGACATTATTAACACTTTGTATGCTTTTAATTAAGTTGATTTATCGTTTATAATATTTTCGACCTAATTAAAAGCACACAAAATGTTCTTACATGTATGTCTAAATTTATTTTAAATTAACTAAAACAACCCCCTTTCCCCGCACCCCTCACTTCCCATAGTATTTCTTCCTCCGACTACCAGAGGCGCCCTTGTATAATAAAATTGAAATGTATTATAAGTTGCCTATCTATTAATAATAACCATCTATCCATAGATAAAGGAAATAAATTTAGATTGGGATGCCTCAAGGCGGATGCCCGTCAAAATTTTGGGTCGCGACCGTTGTACGCGATCTGTTGCTAAGAACAACCGCAAACAAAAACAGAAATAATTTTCTCTTGTCCATATCTCTTGTCAAAGTCAGCTGCTGATTGAATCAAAGTCAGACCGCTCTCATTGAAAAAATCCCGAAAAGTGTTTAAAGTGTCCATTTTCAAAGTAATTATTGCTATCTTGTGAGTTTAATTTAAGTTTTATTTACTCAAACCCATGATAATTGTGAAAAAGTGCATTAAAAACTTAAAAAGTTGTGCTGTGAACTGCAAAAACCATCATGGATCCACGTCGGTTTCCAATGTTTCATAGGTATTTCATACATGTCCTTATATAAAATAAAGTTTCTTGAAATAGTTAAAAATAATAAATTTAAATAAATAATATTTGGCGATATAATTCCGGAAAAAGCCGAATCGCTGCGAAATTTTCAAAAGCTTTGAGTCTCGATCGTTGCAAGAATAGCGCCAAATAGTTTTTACATTGTCCTTATGGGCACTTTCCAATCTTAAACTTGTTTCATTTATCTATGCATCTATCAAAGAAAGAAATCGAATTGATATTACCATAGAAACGCCTTTTAACCATTAGGACAAAAAATTCATCCATATTTTCATGTTTTTCTTAATTTTTTTCTGGGATTAACCACAAGCAGAAATTGTTATGAAGAATGAATTTTTCTGAAAATGTCAATAATAGAAAAGTTTTTCCTCTTGTAAAGACAATCCGGGGACATACTGTATACATTAACAATGAACAAGCAATCTATAATAATAATAATAATACTAATCGAAATTATACGGACCGGACGGTATTGTGTTCGCAGTCGGGTGCGCTAACCGTCTCTATAATGGTAATAAATTTGACAAAGGAAGGCGCAATCAATGAAGAGTTAAATTTAATAACCCAGACATCAATATCTGCGTCGCAAACATCGTCGGTGAGCTTCATTGATTTTGTCGTGTCAACTGTGCAATAATGAGCTTAACTGCCGGGGATAAAACCGACCCCACCGTTACAGAATACTGCCGTCAAGTCTGACGTAATAATAAATAGTTAATTAGCGTTAATTAATACAATTCGATAGTGGCGCAAACAAAATAAAGTCGCGCTTAATTCAATACATTACAACGTTGAATAGCGTATTATACATATAATATTTATCTGGGATAATAGTTTCATAGGTTTAGTCAGTTTGATAGTATTCTAATGTTAAACAGTCAATTTAAAAACTTTTTTGTCTCTACATATTGTTTTTTTTTACATATACAGTGTGTATCAACCAAATGAAATAAATTCTATAATAAACAAACAAAAGCTTATTCGAAAAAACGCTCAAATACTTCGAAATAAAAATGAAACTTCTACACCCTGTGTCTCCAAAACGAAGCATTTTAGGACATAAATTTATATGGACTTTTTTGATTTTTTTATCTGCAGAATATGCTGCTGAAGTTTCTCGAATACAATTTGGACCACCCTGTATATCAGAAAAAGTGTTAATTTAACAAAAATGCTCAAATAGCAATTTTATAGATTATTGGGTATTGATTTTTTTATCTGCAGAATATGCTGCCGAAGTTTCCCGAATACAATTCGGACCACCCTGTATATCAGAGAAAGGGTTAATTTAACGAAAAAGCTCAAATATCAATTTTATAGATTATTGGGTATTGAGATAGCAGATAACGCCCATGGATACAAATAGAAGTGACCCGCCTATGTCATAAAAATTGGCCACATACAGGGCGTCCCAATATATATATAAACATCTTTGTATAGAGGTAAATTGTGTCCTATGAACTTATTTTGATTCCAAAAATATGTAGTAGTTCTATGTCTACGGAATATTGGGACACCCTTATATTCCAGGAACTATGGGATACGTAAAGCAGTTAAAAAAGCAGCTGCCAATCAATGCAATAAGTAACAATAACAAATTATTAAATTAGTTAAAAAAGCCTTATAGTTGGCAAACTATACTGGAATTGCTTGATATTAACCATACATCGATTACTGAAATATTAAATTAAAATAAAATGCATCTCTAAAAAATGATACCAACTTAGGAGCTTATGAAAGACTATTTGCGAAAAATGTTGGTATTAGCTATTGCTACATGACACACCCCGTATAAACTAAAAATACCAACCGACGTACTCTATGGTGTACTTTTGGACATGCCTTCATTTATTATGGAATTTGTTCTATTTATTCTCTTTGACATATACATGTACTATGGAACAATTAAAAAAAAGAAATATTACCTAGGAATGACATGTATATTGTGACTTTGGTTCACCTTGTATAAAAAAACAAATTTGGTCAGAAACCCAAAACCCCGATTAATATGTTATATCAAAATCCTTCACAATCATCTCCCGAATTATTTAGTCTTATTTATCGCATCCTGTATAAAGGATGCTTGATTTTATACCGTTGAAAAATCTTCCATCGTCAGGACAATTTCATTAACTTTGTGCTGAAGTTTAGCCAAGAGGCGGTAAATATTCTCGCAATCGCGGTAATCATATTAATTTGCCACGGAATTTAACTGTCAACTACGACATTTTACTCCATTAGACGAACTAATCTCTTTAAAATTAGTTTATCAAACTTGAGGTTAAGGATTTAACAAGAGGTTAGACATCGGAGATACAGAGAGCAGAGAGATAACACTAGTACTCTAGGTAGGGTCTCTAACGGCTGATAGATTAATCCAATTTTGTTAATTAATGGCAGCATGATGATAATAAATTATCAAGGAGTATTATTGAATGTTACCGACCCCTTTTAATTAAAGTTGAGAATCGAAACAGTAATTTTATAATGTATTGTATTTTTTACCACCCAGGCACCCAGGGAATTACTTTTGCAGAATCGCAGAGAAACCTTCTAGACCTATGAATGACATTGATAATAGTTATTTTTTATCCAAGACGATAAAATAGTTTTAATATGTGTTATTTGTCCTATTTTTTATATATGTTTTTATGTTTTTCATAATTTTAATTCTGTAGGAATCTACGTTCAAGAGACTAGCGATGGGAACTATCGAATGAATTAGACTATCGAATGGTTAATTAATGAATGATTTGAACTATCGAATGGTTTTATTCGAATAAAATCATTCATTCATTTGTATACTAAAGCATATGTGACAACCTCGCCGTGCGACTAAATGGTTATCGTTGAGCCACGACTATGGAATGCTTTTGACAAATGAAATTTAGTATTCGTTTGATTTTTGTATGCGTCAGTGCATTATTAGTTCTTCCAAATTTTTATAACTTCGCCGTATAAATACTGTGCTATTTTTGCGTTTATTAAAATAGTAGTTATTTTTTAATTTTATTTATTGACGATTGTGTGCATGTGCAGGTGGTCAAAATTTTTCCGAAAATTTGTGTAGTTTTCCGTAGTCCGATCTTTCAATTATTTAATTTTATATGGTATATGGTCTATTTTTTAATGGGAAATTTTGAGAAGTAGCAATTTTTAAGAGAGATGAGATGAACTTACAATTAATTTTAAAAATACATATTTGTATTTTAGATGTTTTAATAATATGAATTAGTTGAACTTAATAATCATATTTAAGTAATGTGGTTAAGTAAATGGTTATCGAACTCACAACTATGGGGTGAGAAAATTAATATGAAAGTTTTACACGTGCCAATTAAAAAAAAA